CGGGCCTGGCTGAAACCCACCAGCCTTGGTGTATGTGGCTGAGCCACAGGTACCGATCCAATCTTTTGTGTTTTTACAAACCTTTTTAACCTTTAGTTTATGGAGGTAGCTTGGAAATACCTCCTTTCTGTAAGAAGTCAAACAGAGACACAGCTCATGTGCCTTGCATGACCCCCCACCCCCCATCTTAGTCCCCTTCCTATTAGTGGCCTTGGTCATCAGCTTCATGGGTGACCTGCCAAGTCTTGTTCCTATAGTATCCTATAGTTTGTTTTATCACTTCTATGGTTTTACACATAAGTGGTATCATACTGTCTATTTTTTTCTGCAGTTTTTTTCCAGTGATTTTCTAAGCCATGAATCTTTTGAAATTATTTTAATAAGTGAAAACAGACATACTTTTGTTTGGAAAGTTTCACATTATAAAAGGGTAATTCCATGACACACAGCTGAACCTCTTCTGCTTCCAGTGCCCACAGGAGGAAGGACACACTGTCCCCCAGCTGTAGGGGCCTTTGTGGTCGTCTGCATCCCCCACTGCACCTCTGCTGCCCTCTTCCTTCCTTGAGCCTCTGCAATTCTGGGCTCTGTGGGTGCCTCCTCCTCAGACTAATGGCTTCCGACAGTGGCCCTTGAGTTGTGAGCCTGCTGTTAGCAGGATCAGGCTGGTGGACAGGTCACAGCAAGGCTGTCTGGGCTCATGCTCTCTCTGCCCAGCCAAGTGCACGGCTCTGGGCATGTCAGCCAACTTGTTTGCCTCTCACCCTCTTTACTGGTGCTGGGAAGGCTGCTGGGAGGAGGATCTGATTACTGGATGGAAGGTCCTTGGGGCAGGGCCTCTCCTGTGGTAAGGGCTCTGAGTGAGCCACTCTTCTCACTCTGGTGGAGTGGTTGGTTGTTCACTGTGCACCCCCAGGATACAGCCTGGCATGTGTCAGGTAAATGGATGCTGACTAAAAGGAGAAAGGAATAAGGATAATAGCCAAGATGTGAGGATGTGCAGGGACAGAGGGCCTTGTGTGGGGATACTGGAGCAGGCAGAGGAGCTGGGGTGTTTTGTGTGCGGTAGGGGTGCTTACAGATTCTGAGCACATCTAGTGATGCTGACTGAGGACTAGTCAGTGGGAGGCAGGCAGGGGGCCCCGAGCAAAGACAGGAAGACCGCAGAAGCCTCAGCAATCCCAGATACCATCTCCTGGGCCTTTCTGTGCTTGTCTTCAAGTACTCCCAGGACAGAGAAGCCACTCGATGCTGGCAGGCACCCAAAGGGCTGTGGCCTTTTACTGCTTCTGCGTTGCTATCCTGTGGGTTCAGCTGTGGTAGAATGATTACGACAAGCTATGTTTTTTTTTCATGAGGCCCCTCATGTCCCTTTTTTTCATGTTTATATCCAGGCAATGCTACCGTGGAGAAGTTGGAGGACTTCATCAACAACATCAACAGTGTCTTGGAGTCCTTGTATATTGAGATAAAGAAAGGATTCACAGAAGATGACGGGAGACCCATTTATGCGCTGGTGAGTGCCAGAGCCCCCTAGTGGCACTTGCGAGGAGCCAGAGCAGAGCACATGATTGACGAGACTGGTGGTGAAGAGCGTGAGCCACCCTGCCTGGCAGGGCTCTGAGGTGGGGCCCACTTTTTGGGCGCACAGCAAGCCTCTGACACCTGGGGTAGCATTTGGGTTACCAAGGTAGAGGGTGATAAGAACCGCGGCCCGACTTCAGTGCTTCTGTCACTGCCTATGTGGAGTCACTTCCTGAGATGCGGCAGCCTGTGTTTGTGTTGGTTTGATTTTGCTTTTTTAAAATTAAATCATAGCTATGTATATGATTTTGCTTTTTGATAGTACTTTGAAAAGAAGTCACCAAATGTGTGGAATATTTGGAATAAAGGGAGAAAATGTTTTCTTTTTAATTTGGAGTAAGACATAGCTATGAAAAGAAAAAGTGTAGAGGAGTGTTAAGAACAGAGACCCATTTGGGGCTTTCTGTTGTTTTCAGATTTATCCTTGTAGCTGAGTGAAATGTCCCCATCCTTGGCCAGGGAACACTCAGGCTATCTGAGAACATTGGGCTCTTCTCAGCCAGACCCTTACTCAGAAAGGAGCTCTTTAGTTCACGGTTTCCCAAACTTGATTCTGTGGAAAAAGTGTTAAGCAAGCAAATGGCTCTGGAAATGCTGGGCTACACAAGGCAAAGCAGATTTCCTTTCCAGACTTTTTGGTGGTTTTTGCATTTGAAGCTCCATTAGCATGCAGACAAGTTTCCCAAATTTATCTGAGTTTTGAAAGTACCACAAAACCTTTGTAGTTCTAAAATCTCTGAGAATCAGGTGTATTGGCTGAGCTACACCTGTGACATAAGGCTGGTCACAGATCTATCCTTGTGGCTATAGTGCCTGGTGTAGGAGCTTGTTGCCTTTGAGGACAAGAGAGCCAGCAATGTGTTATCTAGCCAGCAAATGAGGGCACAGCCTAATCATTGTGCTCACTTACTTTTAGGTGAATCTTGCCACAACTTCAATTTCCAAAATGGCCACTGATTTTGCAGAGAATGAACTGGATCTGTTTAGGAAGGCTGTAAGTATGCTGGCCAGGCTTCTCAAGATACTCATTTTTCAAGGGTCACTGGGGAGATAAAGGCCACCATTGTTGCCTGAAAGGAAGGCCTTTGCAGGGAGATGTCACTGGGTACCTCATTGGGAATTCACAGCTACCAGGTGATCGCTGGGCAGGCTGCCTGGGAAGGAAGGGCTGGGTCAGGTGTGAGCTGCAATGGGATGAGCAAGACCTAGGCCTCCCAGTAGTAACAAGTGCTTCTACCTGGCTGCTCCAAGTGCTATCTGGGATTGAATGGCAGCAGCACTCCCTGGAGCTTATTAGAAAGTTTGGATCTCAGTGCCTGGCCCAGATGGTTGGATCTCAATCTGCATTTTAACCATGTGCACATTCACGTGGCTGAGCACCTGGCTAAGAGTGGTTCTCTGGCCTAGATGCAATGCAGTAACTGTGGCAGTAAAAGATAATCCAGACATTCCAGCCTCGTTCCAGATCTGTCAAATCTGTATCTCTGAGGACCAGATCCTGGAATAATAAGGAGAAAATGGTTTTTTATTTGGAATAAGACATAGCAACTGTGAAAAGAAAAGTGTGGAGAAGTGTTAAGGGTAGAGACCCATTTGGGTTACCTGTAAATCTCCTGGGGCTACCAGTAGCCACAGTTGAGAAGCAGGCCCCAGGGTGAGTGACACACCTGTATTTCTGCAGGAAGCCTATCTTTCCTGGTGGCAGAGGTTTTGAGGCGACTTGCCTGGTCCTCAGTCCTGTTTGTATCTGTAGTGCCTGAACTATCTCTCTTCACTGGGCTATCCTGGCTCTGCTCTCATGTCATTCCTGACTATCTTGCCACTGATACCAGCCTTGATGACCTGCCCACTCTGAGTAAGGAGAGTGCCACCTCATTTATTCAGTCATTCATTTCTCAGCCTCCCTGCCTTCAGGGAGGTGGGAGTGAGGTGCAAGAGAGGTGAGGCAGTCCTTCTTGATTTTTTTTTTTTTCTTTTTTTGAGATAGAGTTTCACTATGTTGCCCTCGGTAGAGTGCTGTGGCATCACAGCTCGGCAACCGCAAACTCTTGGGCTTAAGCGATTCTCTTACCTCAGCCTCCCAAAGGACTACAGGTGCCTGCCACAACATCTGGCTATTTTTTGGGTGCAATTGTCATTGTTTAGTAGGCCCGGGCTGGGCTTGAACCCGCCAGCTTAGGTGTATGTGGCTGGTGCCCTACTCACTGAGCTATGGGTGTCAAGCCAACCTTCTTGATTTTTGGACATTAAGATTTTTTGGTGGCTCGGCGCCTGTGGCTCAAGTGGCTAAGGCGCCAGCCACATACACCTAAGGTGGCAGGTTCAAATCCAGCCCGGGCCCGCCAAAACAACAATGACGGCTACAACAACAACAAGAAAAATAGCCAGGTGTTGTGGCAGGCACCTGTGGTCCCAGCTACTTGGGAGACTGAGGCAGGAGACTTGCTTGAGCCCAGGAGTTGGACGTTGCTGTGAGCTATGATGCCATGGCATTCTACCCAGGGGGATAGCTTGAGGCTTTGTCTCAAAAAAAAGATTTTTTGGCATGACCTTATGGCAGTGACTTTTGAGTCAAAAGGACTTGAACACGTGTGTGTCTTTCATTGCACATTGTTAAGCTGTTTTGGGGAAAGTGTGTGTGCGGTTCAGCCTGTGATCTGAGTAGTGTTATTGCGTCCCTGCCAGAATGGGTATTATCTCTTAAAAGGTGGTCTTGCTGGGAGGCACCTATGGCTCAGTGGGTAGGGTGCCAGCCCCATATACTCAGGGTGGCAGGTTCAAACCTGGCCCTGGCCAAACTGCAACAAAAGAAATAGCCGGGCGTTGTGGCAGGTGCCTGTACTCCCAGCTACTCAGGAGGCTGAGGCAAGAGAATCACCTAAGCCTAGGAGTTTGAGGTTGCTATGAGCTGTAACGTCACAGTACTCTACTGAGGGTGATAAAGTGAGACTCTGTCTCTTAAAAAAAAAAAAAAAAGGTGGTTTTGCCAATTTAATGAATGCATTACCCGTTGTTTCTTGTAGTTAGAACTGATAATTGATTCAGAAACTGGCTTTGCATCTTCCACAAACATTTTGAACCTGGTTGACCAACTTAAAGGCAAGAAGATGAGGAAGAAGGAAGCTGAGCAAGTGCTGCAGAAGTTTGTGCAGAACAAATGGCTGATTGAGGTACTTTGATGGTTCGTTCCCCTAGCCCCATGTACTTTTCAGAGTGAATACAACTTTTCCTCCAAAACCATGTTTATCTTCCACTCCTGTCTGTGGAGCCAGGCCAGCCCTCTTGGGCATTGGCTGAATCAATGTGTTATTGACCTGGCAAGAAGATTTAGACCCGCCCCTGTTTACTCATTCAAGCTGTTGAGGGTGCTGTAGCCAGAAGTGGCAGAGCCAGGAGCTGCGCCCAGACATTTGGATTCTGGGATTGAGCCTCTGGCCCATAGACTGTGAGGCAGTGTGATTCTGTGCTGAAGAGTTAGCTGTAGTTGTCTGACCTGGGTCTGAGCCCTGAGCCAGGTGACCTTGAATTCCTTGTCTGTAAGAGGCAGGTGACAGTGTCTCTGTTTCTGGGCATTGGTAGTTGGAGTAGGAAGTAGGCAGTGCAGTAAAGCGCTTAGCACTGGCAGTCTTGGCACTTGGAGGCTAAGAAATTGCTGTTACTATCAGCAGAGTATTACTCAGGGCCAGTGCTCTGGGTTCTTTTCCCTTAGGCAGTGGCCCTTAAGAAGCAAAGAAGTGTAGACACATGTTACCCTCTTCTTTCCTTCAGTCTCTGCAGTTCTGGGCTCTGTGGGTACCTCCTCCTCAGACTGATGGTCCTGACAGTGCCCCTGAGTTGTGAGCCTGCTGCTAGCAGGAGGCTGTGGGAATCTAAGGAAAGGACCCAAGTGCAGATTTAGTTTCTAGAAGCTGCCCACTTTGTGTCTAGTCCTACTGCTGAGAGCAGAACAAATGTTTCAGTTCTTTCTCCACAAAGGCACCACTGTTTTTGAGAAGCGTGGGACTGAAAGCTTGGTATTGGCCATTTTTACCACAGTTTTCTCCCCCTCCCTGCCTGTGTCTGTTCAGGACGTGCTCACGTCTGCCTCTACTTCCTCACTTGGTGGTTAGACTTTTGGCCAGAGCCTGCTGCCTGTGGCTAAAGAGATTATTCACTTCCTTTTCAGGGAGATTTGCCTCTGGGCTGTCACAGTTTATGCTCTGAGTTACTGATTTCTCACTCCAGCAACCTGACCTGTATTCAGGTCTTGGGGTACCTGATGAGGGGAAGTACTAGAGAGGTCCTTGGGGATGAATGAAGGCAGGGCTGCAGGTTCCTGCGGAGTGCCCAGATCTTCCAGGCATGTTCATGTGTGTCTTCTGCTTGAGTCCATGCTGCCCTGAGATAGGTCCCTAGCTCGCTTTTTAGCTGACAGACTGCAGCTTAGTGGTTTGGGTGATGTCCGACAGTCTGAGAGTAGCAGAGCCAAGCTTAGGCTCTGGTCTGGGGATAGCAGCTCCCCATCTATGGCTTTGTCATGGGTTAATAGAATGGTCTCAGGTGGCTTAGGTCATAACTGACTGCTGTCTCTCATGGTGCAGTCTCTTCAGGTTGAGTTTCTTTAGAGGAGGGGTTATAGCATCTTTATCGTTGGCCCCTGTTGCAGATGTGGTGCCTAGCACTGTCAGTGCTCAGTAGAGGCCTGCTGAATGGATGCCCAGACAGGTGGATGAGGTTCCAGAGGGCCAGGATTTAAGGCTTGCAGAAAAATAAGAAATACTCATTATAGGAAGGTTAGCATAAAGAAACCCCTTGATGTCACCGTTATCCTGCTTTTAGAGCTAAGAGCTCTGGCATCCCAGTTCATAGCCCTTTGCACTCATAACTTAGTGTGTTTATCTAGCATATGCTGACACCATCATGTATAAGTCACAGGGCATGTGCCTGACTTTAGCATTAGACTTTTTGTTTGCCAGCCTTTTGCTGCCTGAAGAGGCAGGAGATAGAGAGGAAAGACCCCACCTCTAGAGTCTGTTGGACAGAGCTTTGCCCTCTGTGCCTTTCTCACTAAAATGAAAGTGTTGGCATGGCCTTCTTAAGGGTGGCTCTGAGCTCCAAAGAGAGTGGACCAGAGGTTCTTTGAGCTGCTGTGGGAGGGGGTATTGTAGCCCTTGTGACATGTAGCATATAGGACTCCTTTTACTGCCTGTGTGGCTCTGGGGGACCCTCTTGTGGACAGAGGAATAAACCTAGTGGGAAGGGGGCTGGGACTGAGAGACACCTCCAGATCCTCCAGTACCTATGGCAAGTGACGGCTAGTCTCTAAGACTGTTTCTCACTTGAAGGTGAGGATATTGGCTGCTCCCAGGTATTTTTTGTGAAGGCCCAATGCTTTTTGACCTGGGTGGCCTAGTGAGAGTTGCTGTAAGGTTGGTGACACTTTGGAAGAACCACCAAGGACTGGGATGGGATGCTGGCTGGCCCCCTGATAAGCTAAGCTGTCTTGTGGGGCAGCACCTCAGTCAGGGGGACCATGTTTCAGAGTCTGATCCTCAGCCTCTCAAAATGGAACTTCCCATAGGAATAGCTAGGTGCCCACTGACCAGGGTCATTCCAGATAGTGTGTCACTCCACGTTATGTCTAGAGAGACTATGTCTTAGCACAGAATGGCTGAGGCAGCTGTTGGTGTACAAGGAGGCCCTGGGGTGGAGGGTGTTTGGGTTGCAGGGAAGACCTCTGAGATTGAGCATGGCTTATCAGAGCTCAGACATCCACTGACTGGCCACATCTCTACATATCCCAGGGGCTGTGCATCTCCAGCCTTGTGTTATTGCCAGGCCTAGAAGACCGCTTGAGCTGTGATCTTCATTGAAAATTAGGCCCCTCCTCTGATGAGCTGCAGAGGACTGAGTGGGGTCATGAACCATAATCATTAGGCACAGTTTCAGGTATATGCAGGGGTTTGGTAAATATGGCTCAAGCCTGCATCTGAACTTGTTCACCAGAGCATTGGGAATTCCTCCTTGGAATTGGTGCGGGGGCTCCTTAATCTTCCCTCACATGTTTATCATGGCACTGCCAAGTACTGGGCCCCACACCAGACTCTGGGTGCACATGAGTGAGCAAATCCAGACCTGGTAGCTGCTCTGATAGCACTTGTAGCCTTCTGGGGGAGCCCGAGGTCAGTCACACACTGACATAGGCTTACAGCTATAAGGGAAGCATGGTTTTATGTCAGCTCCAACAGAGGAACCAGCCCTCAGCTGAGGAAGTAACAGTTAAGCTGAAGGCTGTGTAGGAGTTAGCTGGAGCTAGGAGTGTGGAGGATGGTCAGGCTATGCAAAGTCCCTGTGGCCAGAGCACAGTATGCTCAGCTCCTTGAGCACAACAACCATGGACAGAGTGGATAAAGTGAGCCTATGAGATGGCATGGTAGGGACTTGGCTCTTGGCTCTTCAAGTCCCAAGGATGGTGGGAAGCCCTGGAGGGTTTAGGCATAGTGACAGGGCTGGTCTTGTCCTGTAGAGGTTATGTGCTGGTGGACAGGGGTCTCAGGGAGAACAGAGGGAGGTGAGAGTGGAATAGGGTGGTGGCCATGGGGATGGAGTCCACAGTGGATTTGGGAGCTTTTGAGAAGGTAATAGCCACACAGCATTTGAAGGGGCACAAAGCCCCTGTCCACACAGTGACAGCCATGTTGCAGGACACCAGAGCTTGGTGCTTCTAGCCTCCTTGCCCTCCTGAAGCCCATGGCAGCCTGCCCTCTCTGACTCCCCACAGTCACTGTCTCATCTTCCTGACTCCGTACCTACCTGCCTGTGTCTCCCTCTGGTGGTTACCTGGTCCTATATTGGTAGCTTACAGTGAATGCACTTTGAGCCCAGGTCACAGAAACACACCACCCCTCCATGTAGGGTTGGAGATGGAAGCAGGAACAAGGTGGGGGGTGTCTAGCTGTCAGAAATTTTACAACAAGCTTTTGCTTATTGTAAAAATTATAAAATAACAGAAAAGATGGTAAGCACTCAGGGAGACTCCATAGGCATCTGTCCTCCATGGTGGTGTCTTATGGCCAGACCTGAGCCCTCTCTCTCCTAGCCTACCCCCACAGGCTTTTCAGCATGCCTGTGCCCAGTCCCTGACCCCCACACTGGCACCCCCTTAGTGGGAGGGAGTATCAGATAGTAACAGTTGTGGCTAACAGGTCACAACCCAATCCTCTGGCTGCCTCTGGTGAGAAAGAATTGACTTTTGTGAGTTCCCCTGACATTGGCTTCCATATGGGTCTCCACCCAGGGAGACTGGACTGGGGCAGCTGGGCTGATGGTGTGCTTCTTGGCTCTCCCAGAGTTTCTAGGCTACATGTTGTATGTATGACGTGTGCCTTGAGGTGGGAGTCGGGAGACCCAGTTTTGCCTCTGTAGGTGCCTTCCAGCTTCTGAGATCTGTGAAGTGCTCTGGCCAGAAGTGACCTCGGATGGTCACTGTAGAGGCTTCAGGCAGCAGTGCTAGGAGGTTACTCTGGGGAGTGGGGTGGAGGTGGCTGATGGCAAAGGATGGAAGCAGTGCATTTGCTTGCTGGGAAACTACCTGCTTTGTGGGCTTCAGTGTCTTCACCTGCAGGAGGACTATGACTGCCTCTCATGGGGCCTTTGCACAGACAGAATGGTCATGTCTGAAGACATGGGGTGCCGAGAAGGTACAGGTAGGGGGTGCTTCAACTCTGTTGCTCTTTAGGTTTTTGTCACAGTTTTTCTTGCTGAGCCTCTACAAGGGCACATGGTTTACTCTGGTTGGCTGTGGCTGGTGGAAACCTACAGGGCAAAGAGCATCCAGACCTTTGTTCTGCCTGGGCTTTGGGCTGTGGGATGGCAGAGGGGTACTGCATGGGGAGAGGGCCTGGCTGAGGTGGCCGCCTCCCATTCTGTACCCGTAGAAGGAAGGGGAGTTTACCCTGCACACCCGGGCCATCCTGGAGATGGAGCAGTACATCCGGGAGACATACCCTGATGCTGTGAAGATCTGCAACATCTGCCATAGCCTCCTCATCCAGGTATTCACGTGGCCGGGGTAAGGGAGTGCACCTCATGGCCTATCCGGCTTCCCAGGGCTGTGTGGTACTTTCTAGAATTCTCTCTGGGCCCAGACCTCTGACCCTGCTGGGATATCCTCCAGTCAGGGCTGATGGAGGCCCTCTCCCCGGATGTGTCTGGGGACGCCTGTCCTTCTCTGCCCACATAAATTTGCCATCTTCCCAACTCCCAGGCTCCAGTCTTCTAGCCTAAGGGCTCTATCTTATTTTTCTCCAGAAGTGCTCTCCTGAGTCTTTTGTGTAATTGTGGTAAATGTCTTTTCTATGTTGATTGTTATCTTAAGTCATCTTTTTTACACTGAAGGCTTTTTGTAGGGCTTTACAGCCATTGAGCCAGTGCTGGACATTCGTGTCTTTTTAGGTTAACAGTTTTGTAATTTTTTTTCCTTTGATAATTGTAGTAGCTATGGTGGGCCTCTTTGCACATGTGTCATTGGGCACCTGGTGACTATTCTTGGTTGAATTCCTACAAGTGAAATTTCTGGGACAAAGTGCATATTATTTTTTAAAAACATTTTTGAGCCATGTTGCCAAATTGCCTTCTGAAAAGGTATGGCTGTCTACACTGCCATCTGTAGGATCTGAGCACAGGATCCGGAGGGCTCCCGAGGTATCATTGTGAGCCTGCAGCTTCTACTTGGTCATTTGTTAGTGAAAACCACTGTACTAAGGACCTGGGGAGTATTATCAGTATTAATCTAGGCCTGGAGGACACAACTACCGCCTGCTGATTGTTTTCTTACAACTGTCCCGGAATTTTCTGAAATGGGCAGATGTGCACAGCTCCACACTCAGTCCTTCTTGTTTCAGGGTCAGAGCTGCGAAACCTGTGGGATCAAGATGCACCTGCCTTGTGTGGCCAAGTATTTCCAGTCGAATTCAGAGCCACGCTGTCCTCACTGCAATGACTATTGGCCCCATGACATACCAGGTGCATGGTCCCTGTGGGCTAACGGGAAGGGCAGAGCTCATCACTTGGATGTGAGGAAGCCCTGGGAGACAGGGAGTACCCTGAAAAGCTCCTCGAATGCGGGGGTCTCTCAGCAGCCAAGTCCCACTGCAGGAAGTGTAAAGGCTGACTTGCACCATTCCTAGGGGTTCTTTGAAACACAGTAGAAATTCTAACATGTATGGGCATTGTCTGGCAGCCATCTCCGGAGGCGGGTGTGAAAGCAGTGTCTACAGATCCCTTAGCTTGTTCTTCTGTGAATCAGAGCTAATTCTACCTTCCTCTCAGGCTGGGGAAGAGGGTAGCAGTGAAGAGTATTATGGACGTAGGACCATAGGCAGAGTTTTAGGCACAGGAGACATAGCTGTCGACTTGAGCTGTGTCCCTGTGCCACCAGCCCCTGGTATTTATTCACTGTGTCTTCTTGTCCTTTTCTGTATACAGAAGTCTTCAACCCTGAGAAGGAGAGGGAGGCTGGTACCTCCAAGTCGAACAAGAAGTCTTTGCGGTCCAGGCAGCATTAGCCGCTGTGTACCTGGGACAGCCTGATCACCCAGCCCTGCCTGAGAGAGGGCATCAGTATTTCATAGTTCACACAAATTGCCTCCCTTGTTCTTTGTATTCATTATTAACAGCTTTGGAATAAAAGTGTTAGAAGTTGCAGCAACCTCTGTGTGTGGTCTCTATGCATGAGGCACTGCGTCCTGGCCTTGCCTTCTTTCCTGGAGTTTAAGTGATAAGTCAGAACTGTTGATTTGGGCTCCAGTAGGCAAAGCCCACAGTGACCCTGCAGGTCAGTGTACTTTTCAGAGACACTGTGGCCCATAGTCCTTCAGTCCTAGCTTAGCTCAGTTGTTCTTGTGAGGACCTGGCCAGCCCTGACCCTGGCCTTGGCCTCTAATTCCCATAGTTTGGACTCTCCCCTGGCCTGAAATGTCCCTGGCAGCCAGTGACATTTCAGCTCCAGTTTAGATGCCGCCTCCTTCCGGCCCTCCTGGACCCAGTCATCATGAGGTCCTGTCCAGCTCCTGCTCCAGGATGACTCTAGGGACCCATGTTGGGCCCCTGCCCCACTGCTTAGGGTACAGCGCTTCCTTCCTCTGGCTGTGCCCCCTCTGCTGCACACTCTCCCCTCTGGTCTCCTGCCCTTCCTGCCCAGCCTTAGATCTTGGCAGCCTCTTACCTCTACAGCACCCAGTCCCACTCCCTGTACTTTCTTGGTCCTCACTCTTGCTGCACTGTTAGAATTCCATCTTCCTGCCTCTCATCTGCCCTAACGTCAGTCAGGACCCTTCATTTGTGACAGTTAGGCCAACTCAGACAAGCTTGAACAAGGAAGGGGGAAGGACTTGGCCTGAGGGGCCCTCAGGAGAGACTGAGTCTGGTAGTTCCAACAGTGTCACCAGGTGTCCATATTTCTATCTGTTCTCATGAGCTGGCCTCCTGCTTGGAGCCTACAAGATAGTTTTCCTGAAAACTGAGACACTTTCTGTATGGTGGCAGAGCAGCTGCCCTGCTTCCAGGTCTCATGCCTCAGTGTCAGGGGAAGAAGTGGCTCTCACTTAGTGGCTGCCCATGCCCCAGGGAGCATTCTCATGGCTCCCAGCTCCTTTGTGGACACTGTAGAAGTGGGAAGGGGATGCTCCAAGTGGCACCAGAAGTAAGACTTGCCTAGAGCTGTGGGTGGTACAGTCCCTCTCAAGCCCCACGACTGTGAGTGAGCAGGGCATCTCCCTAAGCAAACTAAGGTACAGTTACCAGGCAGGGAAATGAATTGTGGACACTGAATTGGTGGGGTGGCCTCCCCAGGGTGGGCAGGGGTACTCTGCTTTGTCTACCTCAGTAAAACCAGTGTGTGGTAGGCATTTAGGGTGTGGTGAATGTAAATACCTGCTGGGGGGCTCACCTTCCCACCCACCTTCCTGTCAGTGAGGCAGCCTGGGACCCCAGTGCTCTTCCTCAGTGGGTAGGCACTCTTAGTCTGAGTCTGGGTGACCCTACTAGAGGGCACCCTGACTTGGAGTTCATCAGCACAGATGCCCCAGGGGCTTAGCCAGAAAGGTATGCGGTAGCTCCTACAGGAAAGCAGAATCAGTCTAGAAAAGATGGATCTTGGAATTGGGGGTTTAGGACAGCACTGCTGCCATAGTAAGTCAGTTCTGGCCCCTGTATCCTCCCAGCATTCCTTCAAGATGCAGGTGCAGGGAGTGAGTGATTTATAGACCTTCTAAGACTGCTTTCCTGGGGTAGAGGGGGTTGGGGAAGGATGGTACTCCAGAATCCTATCGATGGGCTGTTGTGGAAGATGGGAGGATAGACATCAAAAGGCAAAAAGCCAACCAGCAGGAGACAGCCAGCTTCCTGCATTCATTTGCTCTGTGTTCTGGTGGTCAAGGAGAGGCATATCCATATAGTTTGGGGGAGTCCTAGTTGGTGACCCAGGAAGCCTCTGAGCAACTGTCACTGGGACACTGGCCCTCTAGCCACTAGCTTCCCTATCTCTCACCCTTTTTATTATTTTTTGATACAAGACTCCCACTTTGTGCCCTGAGTAGAGTGTCGTGACATCATAGCTCACAGCAACCTCAAACTTGGGCTCAAATGATCCTCTTGCCTCAGCCTCCCGAATAGCTTTAACTACAGGTTAAAGCTAGTTTTAACTATTTAACTATTTAACTAAAACTCCCAGCTAGTTTTTCTATTTTTAGTAGAGACAGAGTCTCACTCTTGGTCAGGCTGCTCTCAAACTCCTGAGCTCAATTGATCTACCTGCGTTGGCTTCCCAGAGTGCTAGGATTACAGTTGTGAACCACTGTGCCCATCTTCCACCCTTTCATGATGATACCAAAGCAGACATCCCAAGACAGGCTCTGGTGCTATGCTCCCTGGCTAAAACCTCTGCAGGGCCTCTGACACAGCCCCAGCCTCAGCCTGCTTTCTCTCCCATTGGCACTCTGACCATCATTCAGGAATTACTGTGTGGCTTGCCATGCTCTGGGTCCCCACTGCTGCCCTTAGGCCCTGTCCACATAGCAGCACACTGTCCCTGCTGAGCCCTCCAGTGCCTTCCCCAGTGCTGTATGGCCCAGGCCTGTGGCCTTCTGTACACCTCACCCCACCAGGCTTTCTCGCCTAGGGGGTGTTAGACCCACTATTGGGAGCTTTACCACAAATCTGAAGTCAGGTCTGGATCTCTGGCCATTCAAGCTTATTTTTATTCAAATGTTTTAACTATCAAAAGGTCACCTCCCCACCAATCCATCCCCTGGTGCTGTTTTGTCCTGTTAACTCTGTTTTGTTGCCTTCATTGTTCTCATCACTATCTGACACTATCTTGTTTTGTTCTGATCTCACTGGACACTGACCTCTCTTCCCCACAATAGTGTTAAACCAGAGGGCAGGGACCTCATCTGGCTTGATGCTGTGTCCCCAGTGTCTACACAGGACTTGTGGCACTGAGCAGGCCCTCCCCACATCTCAGATGGGCATGTAGGCAGGGGAGTCCCTTGCTTGCACCCCTTGTTTCCTGGCTGTGAGCAACTGTTTCAGGCTCTGGTTCCAAGCTGACTTCAGGGAGTTCATATCCCTCCCTCTGAGCACCAAAGCCAGCCCTCCACCAGGGCTTACTAGCAACACTGGAGCCCTGCCCATAGGACACAAAGATTTCCTCTTCTGAGTTCTTCCTAGTTGACAAAGGACATTTATTTGAGGCAGCTAGGCCTCCATGAGTGTTTTTTTTTTAATTAAATCATAGCTGTGTACATTACTGCAATCACAGGGTACAGTGTGGTGTTTTCATATACAATTTGAAATACTCTCATCAAACTGGTTAACGTAGCCTTTGTGTCATTTTCTTAGTTATTAAGACATTCATACTCTGCTTTTAGAAAGATTCACTTTGTAGCCTTGTAAGATAAACCATAGAGGTGACCCCACCAATCTCAACCCACCCCCCACCTCTCCCCTCCCCCCTCCTCATATTCTAAGGCTATAATTAGGTTATATCTTTCCTATGAAAGCTATAATTTAGTTTCAAATTAGGGCTGTGTACATTGCATACTTTTTCTTCTGTTCTTGAGATACTTTACTAAGAAGAACATTTTCCATCAGTGTTTTAATAGGGTGGCCTCCACTGCAGGCTTAGAGGCCTATGGCATCACAGATGAGCCACAGATGTGAGGCCTGCAGCCGGGATAGGTGGAATGGGAATGCCTGGGCCCCTGGAAGCTGGAGCCACAGCCCACCCATCCCTTGGCTGGGGAAGTTATGTGTGGGGCTATGAGGTTTAGCCCCTGTGCAGCCATGCAGCAGCCATTCCTCATCACTGGCGCACATGTGAGGCATTGCATTCCTATTTTATGCCTCACTACCTTTGGCAGCATTGATATCTGGTGTAAATTCATATGAAAAATAAGGCAAATAAGTATTAATAATGGCAAATCAACAATCTCTTTGCAAGCTACTGACCGGGACCCTGGACTTCCTCCACTTCCTACCAGCTCTTGTATTTGTCCTTCCTCTGCGCACCTGGCTCCGACAGTCTGCTCACTGGAGTACCACTGCCTCCTTGTGGGCCCCATGGCCTGCCAACAGCTAGCTTTCAAAAATGCAGATTCTGATGATCTCTGCTCAAACACCGAGGTTCCCAGACTTAGTGATGAAGGTTAGATTCCTTGGTCTGCGTACAGAGGGCATTACCACCGCCTACCCATTCACATTCTTCACATCCCTTAGGGTGGGTATGGAGCCTGCAGCCAGGCAGAGTGGCCATTCCATGGCCCAGGGTGGCCTTAGGGCCCAGTCAGACTACCAGAATCTTCCCTGGGGTTCCTGACTGGGGCTGAAGGACAAGCTGTGGGTCCTTCCAGGATGTGGAGCTGAGCCCCCTGGGGAGAAAAGCCTGCTTTAAGAGGGGAAAGAATGGTGACAGAGAAAAGCAAGTGGCCAGTGAGGGAGAGGAGCCCAGCTGAGCAGCCCTGAAGCCTGGGGTCCCTCCACAGCACCTGCAGTGCTGGGAACATCCCTAGCACCCTTTCCTGCTCTGGGAACCAATGTTTTTCATTTGGTTTTGCTTAAACTAGTTTGAGCTGGGTTTCTGTCACAACCAGATGAGTCACCTCCTGTCTGGCACTCAGGGTCTACACAGTCTACTCCTGTCGCTAATCTTTAAAGGCATCTTGTACGTTGTCCCTCATCCCATGCTGGGCTCTCCTGGTGCCAGCTCACTATGCAGTTCTCTCTGCCTTGAATACAGCTCTGTCTTTCTAGCAATCCCTGCACATCCTTCCAGATCCAGTTCTTGCCTCAATTTCCTTGGTCCCATCCCATCCTTCCTCCTGCCTTTGTGGGGCTACCTCACATGGCTCTCCGCCCTGTAGCATTTGCCATACCCAGGGCTATGATCATCACATAGTAAGAAGTGAGGAAATTTTGCTTGAACAAATGATTAAAAATATTTTTTCCTGCTTACATTGTTGAAAAAAGTTGGTATTTATAGAGAAATATTAAAGAAAATCAAGCATCTAGTCTTAAACATACCCACAATTTATTTGGAGTACTGTTTTGGGACACACACACACATACATACACATGTAAAGTCATGGGTGTACAGGCACACAGGTATACAAGTAGTATTTAAATGTGTCTAAAAATTAAGAATGTAGTGCATTTTCCTCAACATGACAACATTTATTCATGACTTTAAGAACTCCCAAGTGTTCACAGCTAAGTGATATTCCTTCACACTGATGGGCCATTTCTTACCAACCAGATTTGGGATTCTCCCATGTTTTGTGATAAGAAACAGTGCCACCATGTCATCCTGCATATATATTCTCACCCACCTTTCTCTTTCCTTTGGGTGTGTTTCTAGCATTGGGGCCATTAGACCTTGAGATGTGTATGAATATTCAAAGTTCTGGGTTTTTACTAAATTGTGAGGCTGATCTCCCACCAGCAGGACAGTAAGATGGAGTGTGAGAGTTGCAAAGATTGTGATTAATTTGGCAGGTATCTTTGTTTCAATTTACATCATCTTTGAGTGTTAGTCATTTTTTTTTAAGTTTATTAGTTTTTAAGTGTCTTTTTTCATGGTTGGTTTAGAATGAATTATTTTTTACTTGATGGTCACTGGGTGTCATGAATGTTGTCCAAATCCAGAGAATACTGTAACCACCAATTTGTGGTTCTCCCACCCTGAGGGTGAGGGGACTTCTCTGGTGCCTGCAATTGGGGATATGCCTGTCTTTATTCACGGGGTTGGGGAAGGTCTTAACAGCCAAAACAGATAAAACAAACGAGTGTGTGCACAAAGAAGCTTACAGAAAGCCTAGAGCCTCTGGAGGGTAGTTACTCATGGGAGAAGGGACAGGAGGGGGCTTCTAGGTGCTGGTGATGGTTCTGTTTCTTCACTCAGAAATCTGCTGCTGGGTGTGTATGGTGGAAAATTAATCAAGCCGGAGACCTCTGCATGCAGGTTACCCTTCTCTAATGAAGACCCTCCCCTGTGGCCAGGGCCATGCCTCTCTCCAGAGTTTGCAGGCTCTGGCGCCCAGTCCTGGTAAGGAAGTATGTATGAGTCAGTAATTAGGTTGAGCAGCAATAGCTGAAGTTCCCGCAGCAGCAGGGCTCTGCCACTGCTCATGCGCCACCTCCTGACCTCTGTCTTCCAGACGGAGACACTGGCATCTTGGCCACATCACACAACAGGTAAGCAGTGAGGGCTCACGCCTCACCATGCATGTGCTGCCTGTTTTCTAAGCTTCTTAGGCTTTCTGATGCTGTGAGCCTCCATGGGGGCTGTCCACAGCCTGGCCCAAGGCATGCCCCTTCCTGGGCTCTCCCAGCTCTGTGCCTGCCTGGTGCTGCAGCCCAGTCCCGCTGGGCAGGGAAGGTTTCTCCAGGGCACTAGTTCAAGTGTACTTGTCTCATAGACACCAAGACCCAGTGCCAGACGGGACATAGAGCAAGGACCGAATGAATCCAAAGGCTGTATCACACTCCCTTCAACCCTTCTGGCTATGACCACCAAAAGCTGACTGAGAAACTCAAATCCAGAGCCCGTACGTAATGCCAGTATTTGACTGGGATAAACAGGATCTCTCCAGGGGACAGGATGCAGGACAGGAACGGGGCATCGGTAAACTTGGGGAACTTCTCCATGTCAGGATTCTCCACGTCAACCTGAGGAAAACAAAAGGAGCCACTTAATCCAGGGATGTTGGGGAGGTGGGGAGGGTCTGCAATGCTGTACTGGGTCCCACATGCCCACCTGGCTCGTGTTATGAAGAAGGTGTGTGTCATGAGGATACAAAGCCTCTGACTCCTGTGGTGAATACAGCCGGATGTACTTCCTCCCAATCACCTGAGGGGAGAGACTTGATCAGTCAGCTGGTGACCTCCCATCCCGCAGGTCCTGGACCCCCCTACCCCATCACTGCTGCCCCCCCCTTTTTTTGAGACAGTCTCACTATGACACCAGTAGAGTGCATAACATCACAGCTCACAGCAACCTCCAACTCTTGGGCTTAATGATTCTCTTGCCTCAGCCTCCCAAGTAGCTGGGACTATAGGCGCCTGCCACAACACCCGGCCATTATTTTGTTGCAGTTGATTAGCTGGCCCAAGCTGGGTTCAAAACAGCTACCCTCAGTGTGTATGGCTGGCGCCATAACCACTGTGCTACGGGGGCTGAGCCACTGCTGCCCTTTCAGTGTGCTGCTCCCTGCATCCAGTCTGCCCTTCTTCACCACACACAAGCTCAGAGCTCCAAATGTATATTTTCCTTCTGTATGTTTTATGGGCCAGCACAGTGGCTCATGCCTATAATCCCAGCACTCTGGGAGGCTGAGGCAGGAGGATTGCTTGAGCTTTAGGAGTTTGAGCATGAGTGAGACCCTGTCTACTGAAAATAGAAAAATTAGCTGGGCATGGTAGCAGACGCCTATAATCCCATCTACATGGGAGGCTGAGGCAAGATCACTTGAGTTCAGGAGTTTGAGGTTATCATGAGCTATGATACTATGGCTTTTACCAAGGGTGACAAAGTGAGACTCCGTCTCAAAAAAAAAAAAAAAAAAAAAAACCAAAAAGGCTTGGTGCCTGTAGCACAGTGGTCATGGCGCTAGCCACATACACCGAGGCTGACAGGTTTGAATTGGCCCAGACCAGCTAAACAACAATGACAACTGCAACCAAAAAATAGCCAGGCGTTTGTAGTGGGCACCTGTAGTCCCGGCTACTTGGGAGCCTGAGGCAAGAGAATCACTTAAGCCTAAGAGTTTGAGGTTGCTGTGAGCTGTGACGCTAAAGCACTCTACTGAGGGTGACACAGTGAGACTGTCTCAAAAAAAAAAAAGCAAACGTAAAAATAAATATTTTATGAATCAGTAACATTGCTATCAGAGCCAACAATAATCAAGCACTTGACTGTGCCAGGCACTGTCATGTGCTTCCTGTGTATTAACCCACTTAATCCTCACAATAACCCTGCTAGGCTGTTTATCTCCATCCCCACTTCACAGACAAGGAACCTGAGGCAGACAGGCTCAATGAACTGCCCAAGCTCATAAAGCTGACAGAGCTGGTGTTCATGCCAGGCAGGATGGCTCCCAAAAACCCAGCTCCGGGCCTCTTTACTGCACCACCTCTTTGGATTGGTCCCCTGGGCTAGGAGATTGTCAAACCTTTCTTTCTCCCTGCCTGTGAAAACCAAAGAGGTCTTAAAACAGTGGATAGAGGCCCCTCTCCTTGCAGAAAACACATCTGCTTCTGGGGTCTCAGAAACTGAGAAGCTAGCCTGACAGGCAAGGGGAAGGCAAGGGTGGTCAGGGGCAGCTGTGGCAGGTGCTTACTCCATCTCCTGAGAACACTCCTCTGCCTGGGGATCTCAGGATGAGCCAGTCCAGGAGGAGCCACTTCTGGAATCAGCCCTGACTGCAGAGAGGGCCTTACCCTAGGCCTGGTACCATTTCTTGGTTTTTATTTTATTATTTATTTATTTGAGACAGTCTCACTATGTCACCCTTGGTAGAATGCTGTGGCATCATAGCTAACAGCAACCTCAAACACTTGGGCTTAAGTGATTCTCTTGCCTCAGCCTCCCGAGTAGCTGGAACTATAGGCGCCCGCCACAACGCCCGGCTATTTTTTTGTTGCAGTTGTTTAACTGGCGTGGGCCGGGTTCGAACCTGCCACCCTTGGTGCATATGGCTGGTGCCGTAACCACTGTGTTATGAGTGACGAGCCAGTCTTGGTTTTTATTTTTGTTCACATTCTTTTTAGTGGTTCTTATTTCTCTTTTTAGAAGCCTGGTGTTTAAAGGCAGATAATGTGGCCAGGAGCAGGGAGAAGACCACTGTTCTGGCAGCAACTCCAACCTGGGCGAGGAAGTTTTGCTGGGGATCCTGATGGAGTGGGGAGACAGTTCCTCGGGGTCCAAACCAGGCATTAATGGTGATCTCGTCTTCTTCCCCATTGCCCAGGCAGCAGTAATCAGGGATGCTGATGTCCTCCTTCAATTCTGGGATCTGTGGGTGTCAGAGCAGACAGGGGAGGTTGAGACCAGCCTGCGATTTACTAGCCCAGGAGTCAGCTGACTATCTGAGAGAGGACTCAATACACATTGTGACCAGACATATTATTGGGTACAAATTTGAAAAAAATTTAAAAAACAAATTTAAGTAGGGAAGTTATCATTTTAGTTTCTTTCCTTTTAAAAAACCTTTCACCAGGCTTTAAATTTAAAACTAAACCAGGCTTTCATTTACTGCAGAGTTAAATGTTAAAAAAAAAAAAAAAATCAAACTGAAGAAAAGCAAAAGAAATGGGATTGAGGCCAGAGCACTGGCTCATGCCTATAATCCCAGCACTTTGGGAAGTTGAGGCAGGACTGACTGAGACTGAGAGTTTGAGAACAGCCTGGGAAACATAGTGAGACCCCATTTCTATGAAAAATTAAAAAATTAGCCAGGTGTGGGGGTAGGAACCTATAGTTCTAGCTACTCAGGAGGTTGAGGCAAGAGGATCCTTTGAACCCTACAGTTTGAGAATCCAGGGAGCTATGACTGGGCCACTGCACTCCAATCTGGATGACAAAACAAGACCCTGTCTCTAAAAAGAAGAAAACGGGATTGAATATTTACAAAATCTGGAGAGGAAGATTTCCCCAAATTTATTAGTGGTAAAGAAATCAAAATTTATACATTTTAAATAAATGAATTACTATAAAGACCAACAAACTGGGCTGGGTGCAGTGGCTCATGCCTGTGATCCTAGCATACTGGGAGGCTGAGGTAGGTGGATTGCCTGAACTCACAGGTTCAGGACCAGCCTGAGCAAGACAAGACCCTGTTTCTAGGGCAGCACCTGTGGCTCAGTGGGTAGGGCGCTGGCCCCATATACAGAGGGTGACAGGCTCAAACCTAGCCCTGGCCAAATTGCAACAAAAAAATAGCCGGGCACTGTGGTGGGTGCCTGCGGTCCCAGCTACTTGGGAAGCTGAGGCAAGAGAATCGCCTAAGCCCAGGAGTTGGAGGTTGCTGTGAACTGTGATGCTACTACACTCTACCGAGGGTAATTAAAGTGAGACTCTGTCTCTAAAAAAAAAAAAAAGACCCTGTTTCTAAAAATAGTTGGGCATTGCAAGTGGGCGCCTATAGTCCCAGCTACTTGGAGGCTAAGGCAAGAGGATCACTTGAGCCCAAGATTTTGAAGTTGCTGTGAGCTAAGATGCCAGGGCACTCTACTGAGGGTGACAAAGTAAGACTATGTCTCAAAAAAAAAAAAAAAACAAAAAAACACAACAAACTAGGGCACTTCTTTGAACTAACTATGGTGATGAGGGGTTAATATACAAACTTTATACAAATTAATAAGGAAAGTCCTAAGATCTCAATACATAAATGACGCTATAATCAAAGAACAAAAACAATACATAAAAGCAAATTACATATAAGGATGGGCTTCAAATAAACCCAATTAATTTGCAAATAAACCCAAATTAAATCAACAATGAATCATCGTTTCCCATTATTCCAACAGGTACAGATGAAAACACCAAGTAGTGGTGAGGGACACTCTTAGCCCAGGCTGCTGAGAGAACCAAGTGATACCATTACTCAGCGTGTGACCATGCACAGGTCTTAAAGGGCACGCGCAGTGTGACTCCAGGAGGAGCTAGGGACCTCAGGCCACGAGGCCAGGGTTCACGCAGGAACACGGGCTATGTGTTGGCTTCCCTGACCCACCCACCAGCAGGGGTCTGCGGTGATGATCTCAGAGAAGTCACTGTGGGGAAACAGCATCACTGCCCTGCCAGTGCTTACTGTAACCCTACGCCCTTCCCCAGCTCCCCCTTTCTCACTTGGCTATCCAGGTGCCCTGACGTCTTTGCAGAACACCTAGAACAAAAGCATGGATTCTTGGCTTCCTACTTTTAAAAGCCCAGGTGGGCACAGAGCATCTGTTTCCACACAGGCAGAAACAGGCTGTGTGTAGCACCTGCCTGGTGAGAAGGGAAGTGAAGGTGAGAGAGTGTATAGGAGCCTCAGTGTATCTGGCCATGTTGGAGGTTCATGGTGGGGTGGGGCGGTGGCAGTCTGGCCTTCTTTGGAAAGGACTAGGGTCTCAGAGGGAAAACCCATTTCCTGAGTGGACCCTCCAGGGAACCGCAATTTACCTCCTGGGTTGAACCCACCAAAGCAGGCTGCCAGCCCTCACCACCAAGCCATCTGGATCCTTCAGAAGACCCTGGTTGGACCCAGAGCCATGTTTTGAAGACTTGGAGGCATGGAAACAAGGTTGCAAGGGGGACTTGAGCCTTTCACAGGCAGGTAGATACTGCCATTCCTTTGGGAGCAGATACTGTGAATGGCAGACTGCTTATTAAGAAACCAAAGAACGCCTAGAAAAACAGGAACAGTCTCTCTGCAGGGAGCTTGGGCCCACACACTGCTGTTCTGTTAAGAATCTGCTTCAAAGCGCCAGTGTAGAAGTGCAGACAACTGCTGTTCCCACTGCTTAGGGCTAATGTAGAAGGTCACAAGCTGAGGTCACCCTCCAGGGGTGTGGCAAGATTCCTTCTCAGAGCACATCCCCCACTGTGGCTTCTGGCTAGGTTGGCACCAGATTTGGCCCTGCACAAGGCTGAGTGGAAACTCTGATTGGTTCCTGGTGACAACACTGGGATTCCTGAAAGGTGACTGACCAGAGCATGGGCTGAGAATCACTAGCCAAGAGTTCAAAGACCCCAAAAGAACAAATGCTCTCAAGATAGTGAAGCAAGCCTAGAATGGTGGCAGACTCCCCAGGATGAAAGTCAGTAAGAGGTTCTTAGGCAAGAATTTGGTTGGAGCCACTGAGTTTCCTGTAGACAGAGAAGGTGCCAGGGCCTGGGGATACACAGACTTCTCCCTGAGGTGCCCTCAGCAGCAGAGGGGATACCAACCTCTGGGACCCGAGGTAAAAAACAGGTAGCCCTCCCCCAGCTGGGATATTAATATGATTCTGATTCATCATAAAAATAATTGGGAAGTTTCCTTTACAATTGGGCCAGTAAAATACAAAACAACTACTCTAGGACAGGGAGCCAACAGGACAGCTACAGCTTCAATGGTCCCAGGCCCAAAGCTGACTGTCCCTATGGAGGCCTGCCCCAGTGTCACCAAGGTCAGAAGACAGGCTGGTCTCTTGGGATCACACACAGTCGGGGTCTGATCCATTAGAATCCTCTTTTCTTCTCTTAGCAAGAGAGGTGGACAGAAGGCAGGAGTAACAAGTCCTAACAAAGAAGTCCTAGGGAAGAGCCCATAACCATAACTGTGGGCATGGAGGGCCCATGAGTCTGGTATAGCCCCTGCTGACCCGGGGTCCCCACAGTCTTGGCCATAGCAGTAGACACAGCAGATGAGCATCATCTGGGGCCTCTACCTCAAAGTCTGCAGAGACAGTGCCCCAACTGCCCCTTTGCTGTGTGGTACAGGGCATGCTGCCTCCTTGGGCGTCCTGCTATGCCCCACCATGCCAGCATCGCAGGCCTGGCCAAGACCAAACCAGCCATGTCCCTCCTGGGTTCCCCAGTTTCATTTATCAAGACTTGGGTCCTGAATCTAGGAGTCTTCCTTGACTGCCCTCTCCCCTCCATCCCACACACTCTTCTCAGGTCCAGGGCCCAGGAGTTCTTATGCATCTTGTACCTCTGCCCTTGCCTGGCATTACCTCTCCTTGGGCCATTGCAATATCCCAGCTGGTCTCCCCTCTGCCATAGCTGCCCCCCTTCAACTCATCCCAGAGGAGTAGCCAGTAATCTTTAGAGCACTGACAACCCCCAGTGCTTTCTGTCTTCTTAGGAAAACTGTCCTTCGTCATCCTGGCCCTGCCTACCTCCTCACTTCAGCTCCCACCACACTAAACTTTTCTGTCCTCTTGTGTTAGAACTGGAGGTTGGGGGGGAAGGTGAAGGACAGAGAAGTGTGGTTCAGACTTACCTGGTCGAAGAGCTGGTGCTGAGCAAGGTAGCCGACGTCCTCTGGCTAATACACAGGAGGAGAACCAGAGTGACAGAGAAAGCCTGTTAGTGGTGACAGGTACCCTCCTATTGCTGTTTAGCCCCCAGCGTGTTCCCTCCCTGGTCCGGCCCTAGCCCCGGCCTGCCACAGAGGACAGCCTTCCACTACGTCCTACCTCGTCCCCTCCTCTGATCCAGGGCAGATATGATCAGTGCCCTCAGGAGGAGGGCTGGGCTGCACAGCAAGAGACTCAGGATCTGGCACTGCCCCTGCCACCTAGGGTGCCCTGAGCAAGTCACCCTGGCTCCCTGAGGCTGTCTTCAAATGAAAAACGAAAGGGTTGCTGGCCCATTTTCTTTTTTAAATGGGATCAGACCATATGTATCACTTTGAAATTTACTTTTCTCATTTAATGATGCGCCATGAACCCCTCTTTAAGTCAATGTGTACACGTCCAGCATTTCAATAAACAGCCTAATGTACGTGTTCTTAAATTTTTGTGGTATAGGCTTCCAAAAGTAGAAAAACTGAGTCAAGGGCATATGCATTTTAAATTTCAGTAGCTTCTGCCAGGCTATTTCCCCTGAAGTTAAATCATTTGTATTCTCATTAATTACCACGAGCACCCATTTTCCTACACCACACCCTCTGCCTGTGCTGGATATTACCCTTTTGTGAAAGTATTTCCTACCAGTGGATAAGACAATGTGTGCTTTACTTGGGGCAGAGGGGGTAGTGGTGTCTCCAAAGCTCGAGGTTCAAGAGCAGACAGGCTTCTGGGTTAGGGTGACGAGATTTTAACATTTGTAAAGGGAGATGACATGGGGGGGGCAGGGGCGGGGTCTGACAACAATGCAAACTTTGAAAAGCAGTTCTCGATAATCACTTCTCAACAATTATTTGTTATTATTACAGTTTAACATTATAAAATTAACAAAAATAACATAAAACTCATATTCTGGCGAAATAGCCACATGGCAGCCAAAAACTGTATATTCTCTTCCTGTTCTCCTGCCCGTTCGTGCATTCTTTCCAAAAATTGGGACTTTTTAAAACCACTGCGGGAAGTGTTGGACAAATCGTTCAAAAGCGGGACGTCTGGTCACCCTACTCTGGGTGCTCTCACCTCTCTGACTGGCTTAAAAGGAGAGTCCCCAAGAGGTTATTTCTACCCTCTCCTTCACTCCCACAAAGGTGATTGAGACTTCACAATATGCTGGGCTCTGGGCACAGCTAGCTCTGATGCAAACCCCACCCTCATGGATATCCTGCTCTAGGGGACCTTCCCCATGACCTAGCCATGCTGTGCTAAGAGCTTTACATGTTTTTCATGCTCACAACAATGGAATGAATTAGGTGTAACAACCTTCAACTAACCAACCCAAAGTCCCAGCACAGAGGATGGGAGAGGCTAAGTGACCAGCCACACTGTGGCAGCAGGGCACAGAGCCCACTCGGCACTGTGCTGCCGGACAACACAGCCCACCTCCCCTCCATGCCATGTCCTTCTGGCTGGGCCTCCCAGCATGGGAGCCAGGCTTTCTCCAGCAGGGAGCAAGACACAAGGGTCTTTCTAGCCAAGGGTCCTTCCCAGGCTCCTGGTAACAATGGGCTGAGCAGAGGGAGAGGCTAGAGGAGGCACAAGGGCAGGCTGGAGAGAGGTCTGCAAGCACTGGCGGGGGTGGTGGGGAGGCTAGGTGAGAGAGCTGGGGAGCAGGTGCTCTGGGGCGCTCCCAGGAATACAGAGGAGGTGAGGAGTCTGAGTGAGAGACCTGGGGATTGTGGGCTCTGGGGGGCTTCCAGGAGTGCAGAGGAGGTAGGGAGTCTGGGTGAGAGAGCTGGGGAGCAGGTACTCTGGGGCACCCCCAGGAGTGCAGAGGAGGTGGGGGGTCTGGGTGAGAGCTGGGGAACAGGGGCTCTGGGGGGCTTCCAGGAGTGCAGAGGAGGTGGGGGGTCTGGGTGAGTGAGAGAGCTGGGGAGCAGGTACTCTGGGACACCCCTAGGAGTGCAGAGGAGGTGGGGGGTCTGGGTGAGAGAGCTGGGAAGTGGGGCTCTGGGTGGGTCCCAGTAGAGCAGAATAGGTAGGTAGTCTGGGTGAGAGAGCTGGGGAGTGGGGGGCGGGGGGACACCCCAGGAGTGCAAAGGTAGTGGGGAGTCTGGGTGAGGGAGCTCTGGGGGGTGGCTCCCAAGAGTGTAGAGGAGGTGGGGAGTCTGGGTGAGAGAGCTGGGGAGCAGGGGCTCTGTGTGGGCCCCCTGGAATCCAAAGTTCCAACACTGATGGCAAAGCTCCTAGCCAGTGTGGTTATCCACCTGGTCTTCGATTATGGCAATTACATGATGAAATCCAATCAGAAAGTCACTGGGCCTGGGGCTGCCAGGGACTGTGTGAAAGTCCACAAGGCACACACACCACTCTCACATTGTGTCGGGTCTGTGCCCCTTTATAGGCTCCCCTTGTTCTCAGGATGGTTCAGGCCATGGCGGGCTTGACCATCTCTACTCTCTGCCCCCCGGGTCTTGGGAAAAAGCCACCTACTGCCCTGCCCAGAATCTGAAATGATGAAGTGGGGCAGCTGCTTTGTAAATCAGTCTGGTGACTGGTTCTTCACAAAGCTAACTGTGGAAGTGACCATCTGACCTGGCGATTCCTTTGCTATATACAGCTAACAGAAATAAAAATATATGTCCACAGAAAAGCGTGCATGAGAATGCTCACAACAGCATTTTTCATGCTAACCCAAAAGAGGAAACAACTCAAGAAACACACAACTGCATGGATAATAAAATGTGGCAGACTCCCCCACAAGGGAACATTATTTAGGAACGGACCACTGGCACAGGCCACAGCGGGTGAACCTTGGTAACACTACGTGACGTGAAAGAAGCCAGGTGCGGAAAGCTACCTTTCACATGATCCCATTTACATCAACTGTGCAGAATTCACAGATCCACAGAAACAGAAGGCAGATCAGTGGTTGCCTGGGGGTGGGGGTCTAGAGGAAATGGGAAATGGCTATGAAGGAGCGTGGGGTTTCTTTGGGGATGATGAAAACGTTCTGGAGCTAGATAGCGGCGATGGTTGTATAATCTTATGAACATAGTAAATACCACTGAATTGTAACCCCAAAAAGGGAACCCGAACTGAGTCCCTCCTGCTTGGCCATCCTATGACTACAGACTCAGACTGACTCCTCTGAAACCTCCGACTGCATGCAACACAGGGCGGGCACTTGCCCAAATGTACCATGCTGGCCTCTTGAAAGCACTAGGGGAAAGGAGCCCCCGACATACCTCATTCACGATATACTTGCTGATGAACTCACTGATGGTCATGAGCGTCTGGGACCATTCCTCGTCTGTGTACCGGGAACCAACTTCCACTGGGACGGTTCGGCAGCCAGCAACCTCTTGGATATACTCCAAGCTATCGGACAGACACATGCACCGTCATCACTGACTCTTGGTGGGAATGGTGCTAAGTGTGCTTAATCCTCATAAAACCTCATGAGGCACAGACCTGAGTTACTTCACTGATGAGGAGACTTAGGCACAGAGAGGTGATGTTACTTGCCTGACGTCTACGGTTAGTACAAAGCGCTATGTAGCCCTGCAGATAAGCCCAATAAACCTGGTCTGCTGGACTGCTCTATTTCCCTGCTTGCCAAGAGCCTAACTTTTCTCTTTGCTCATATTGCTACCGAGCTGAAAAACCTTCTGTGAGCAAGCAGTGGGTTGTCTGGGGGTGGGGGGAACACCTGTGCTCCAAACTCTAGGCCTCCTGAAATACACACCAGGGGACCTATGGCAAGTCATTCAGCCTCTCCAAGTCCTAGTGCCCCATGTGTAAGTGGGGGTGAGGACAGGGTCTGTCCCCTGGGAACCAGGGAGGATAAAGTAAGACAGCATGGCAAATACCTGTCCTGGCAGCTGGTCTGGAGCAAAACGCACAAGGAAGGCTTGCTGTCGTGATGGCACCTGCAGTCACATGAATCCAGGGAACCTCTCCCTCCTTAAACTACCACAAATCAGGCTGACTCCATCTACCTTCCTTGAGATCTACCTCCTCATTTCCAAAATTAGGCACAGCTACAGCATCACGGCCACTTTCTTGCTGCCTGGTCTACTCTCCCTGTTGCAGGAAGATGAGGCCCAACAGAGGGAAAGAACACCCAAACACCAGGTTTATATGAGGAAGGGCTTTATTTACCAGCTGGGAGCCACAGCATAAAAGAATTCCAAATGGCCGTGCTCCCTGACTGGCTTGGTCTTTCCCTTTTTATCGACAGTCACGAAGTTCTAACCCATAGGTACCCTTCTCATTGGCCAGTTTGAATAAAGTGGGAGATGCTATTCCAGCCCCTACAGAACTACAGGATTTTACAGAAATTTCCAAGTTCCAGGAAGTTAAGTTCACAAATTCCCAAGAGCTGAGTCACCATGGACAGGACCCCGCAGGTGTATCCTTGTGGTCTCCTTGAGAAGACTTGTTCTCCTAGACCTCACCCTCCTTAGGTATCTTCTCTCATCCCCACCACGGATTTGAGGAGTGACTAGAAACAAACATAAAGAGGCCAGAGAGAAAGGGGCTGTCTTTTGGGGTATTTCAGAGCTTAGCCAGAGCTTAGCCTCAGGGCCCTGAGAAGGCCCTGGAATTCCTAAGATCCTGCAAAATTGCATAATAGACTTATTCTAAGATTGCCACTTAGGGACTCATTAAGAAACTGCTTAGGGCAAGTTAGCTGTAGAAGGAAGAATCTTATAACCTTTGGCATAAAATCAGAACGCCTCCCTTTTAATTCTTGTTTAACCCCTTGGCAATCAACCTCAGGGGCTGGGTAGTAAAGCAGTGCAAGGTTGTATTTACTTGGGGTGGGGAGTGGAGGAATTTATCAAGTCCTGGGGGACCTCGCCACTGTCTCCTTACCCACCTCCACTTCTTCATGCAGGGCCAATGGTCAGCCACACCTTCCAGGATCACAGGCCTCTGTGGAACCAAAAAATGCTTCTTGAAATGCTGGAGGGATGGACAGTGAAGCCGGGGGACTGTTCTTTCTAACGTCAGGTCTGGAATCAAACTAGGATCATTCTTTGCTTTCTGTTTAAAATCAAAACAAATAAAAATGGCAACAATTTCAGAAAGTCAAAATTTGAGGCATTTCACTCACTAGGAATTTGCTTTAGTGGTAGGACAGCTTGGGCATCATTAATAGCAACAGACAGGTTTTTTTTGTTTGTTTGTTTGTTTGAGAGAGTCTAACTCTGTTGCTCTGAGGAGAGCATCATGGCGTCATCATATCTCACAGCAATCTCAAACTCTTGGCTCAAGAAATCCTCTTGCCTCAGCCTCCCATATAATAGCTAGGACTACAGGTGCCTACCAAGCTTGGCTAGTTTTTCCATTTTTAGAGACTGGGGCTCATTCTTGTTCAGGCTGGTCTCCAACTCCTGAGCTCAAGCAATCCACCTGTCTTGGCCTCCCAGAGTGCTAGGATTACAGGCGTGAGTCACTTCACCTGGCCTTTTTTTTTTTTTTTTTAAACCAAAGGAGAGGTTGAACATTTTCCCGCAGGTTTGTTTAATAGATCTATTTCCTTCTTGTGAATACTCTATTCATGTTCCTGGTGTTCTCCCTCCTGAGACTCAAGTTCTTTTCCCTACTGATTTGTATAATTCCTTACATAATAGAGAGACATTCACTCTCTGACAGAAACTGCCGAGTCTCGAGACTTTCTCTCTCCTGATCATGGGATTTCCTTTTATTTTGGTTACATGTGTGGTTGTTTAATGACATCCATTTGCATTTTTCTTATTTAAAAATAATACTCATTGTTGGAAATTCAGAAAACATTTAGAAAAATGTCAAAAACACCTCACACCTTCCCAGTGCTTAGGATATTCTCAGTTCTTTTCTTTCTGGGGGTCAGTGCACTGACTGCTATTTTTCAGAGGGGAAACTGAGGCTCAGAGGAGGTTAGTGACTGGCCCAGGGGTGTCTGCCTGTTGGTCTTTGGGGTGAAAGCTTCTGAGTAAACCCTGATCTGTGCCTGTGGAGGTGCTCCCTGGCCCAGGCACTTAAACACCAGTAAGGTCACATGAATGGACCGGAGGAGGCAGGACAAAGTGGTTCTGCGAACACAAGTCAGCTGGTTGGAGTAGCTCACCTCAGTGCAGAGGCAGAGGCAGAGGCAGACAGAAAGTACCACTTTGCCTAGGTGACAAGAAACAAGCTGACCCAGAAAAGGCTGGTAGAAAGAGACTACAGCTGGCTGCAGCTCTCGCCCGCAGGATCCCTGTGAGCTGTTTCTCTCAGGAACCACCAAGCCTCCCCATCCTGTTCTCCTGAAAGGACACTGCTCTCACAGAAACTGGGAATGTTTTTTTTCTTTTTTTTACAAAATGCATAGAGTTGCTCCATTTCCAAAATCAATGGAGATGCTATTTTCAGCCAGGGGGCTGCTTCTACAATAGGGGTGTGGGACAGTCTTGCCCAGATACCTTTGTGCTGGGCTGCTCCTGGGTTGAGCTGTGGGCAGGCCTTTTTCTGGAAAGGTGTGTCTGGAGGATGACAGCCACCTTATGGAGGATGTCTCCAAGGATGGTCGCCCCCATCAGTAGGCCCATGTCACAGACCCTGAGGGCTGTAGCCATGGTGGCAGCATCCCCAGGTGCCTTGCAGAGACACAGGGCTTTGAGAAGGCAGCTGAAGGCATAGACCTGTCGCCAGTCTTTGTCCACGTCTCGCCATGTCCCTGTGTTGAGTTTCTCCCAGGAGTAGTCCAGGATCACCTCACTCCTCTGCAGACACTCATCTCCTCTGCCCTCGTAGAAGAGCTCGGTGGCTTCCTGCAGCAACATCACTACACTCCTCTCCACTTTCTCACTCAGGTCCAGCTTCAGTTCTTCTTTGGTGTTTGGCAGGAGTGCCCTGAGGGCCTCCCAGAGCATACCTGCTCCTGCCAGGGGTTCTCTAGGACAGTGGGTGGCTTCACCCATCTGGCCCACTGCTGGCTTGTTTGGACAAGTGCCTGGAGGGGGAAGAAAAATGGTTAGAGACCTGGTGCAGACCAGACCTCTCCCTGTGTTCCCATAGCTCCCCACATCGCATCTGTAATGATGTATCAACAGTGGTCTTCTCTGCCAGGCAGAAGCTCTGTGAGGGCAGGGCCCACATCTGTCTAAGGTCACCACTGTATCTTCAGGGCCTGGAGCAACACCTGGCATTCAGTGAGCATTGGATAGATGTTTCTTCAGAGAAACATGCACTGTCCTCTGTAATGCCTCCAATACTCTTCCTATGCCTGGTAAACTCTTACCCAATCTTTAAGGACATTTTATATGATCCCCTCTGAGAAGTCTGCCAAGACTCCCAGACCATGTTTTGTGTTCCCACAGCCCTTGAGCTTCTCTGACAGCACTTGTCACCATGTACTACAACTACCGAGGTACATGAGTAGAGTGTCTCTCTAACACTAGACTGTGAGCTCCACGAGGGCAAGGCCATGTCTTACTCCTCTGTGTTTCCCTAGAGCCTAAAAGGCAGAGTCTGGCTCATACTAAGCACTTGATAAAGGTGCTGAAGGAATGCTACCTTAACTTCTCAGGAAGAAATCTGGAAATACATCAGAAAAGTGAACATCACAGTTGGTGTCTGGGTGGTGTTGGGCTGGTTATCATATACGAACAACAGCCAGTCCTGAGGAACAAGTACTAAGATGTGACTAGGTCTACTGCTCACCGACGATTACAATCTATGTGTGCCACTATGATCTAGGTATTATTCAGTGGTTACATTGCCTATGTCGTATGATGCAAGAGATAGGGACCATCATCTTTTGTAGAAAATGTTCTACGTTAGGAGTCAACACACTTTTTATGGAAAGGGCAAGATAATAACCCTTTCTGATCCTGTTGGACCTTGTTCAACATAATGATTTTTTTGGGGGGGTGTTTATAAACAAAAATAAACAAAACACTTTATGTAACCTAAAACAGAAAATAAAATCATCAGGTGAACTCATATTTATATTTTTTTCTTTTAAAACTGTAGGATAATTATAAGTAATCCACCAACCTCTTTCTCGCTTAAAATAAGTAAGAGCTGGGGAGTATGCAGGTGGCAGAAAAATTGGATTGGAAAGGGTTATATATTTTAGGCTTTGTAGGTCATATAGTCAATGTTGCTACTACTCTGCCACTGTAGCATGAAAACAGCCATATGGGCATATGTAAAAATGGGCATGGCTATGTCCCAATTAACTTTATTTACAAAAGCAGATGATGGGTCAGGTGTAGTTTGCCAACTCCTGCTCTATGCCCATCCAAATCTTTATCTTCTTCCCAGGTGCACAGTCAGACTACATTTCCCAGTCTCACTAGGAGACAGGCCTTATTTGCTGTAGCTGTAGGATATTAAAACTTCTTTCTTGGGCGGCACCCGTAGCTCAGTGGTTACTGCGCCAGCTATATGCACCGAAGCTGGTGGGTTTGAACCTGGCTGAGCCAGCTGAACAATGACAACTGCAACAACAATAAAAAACAGCTGGGCATTGTGGTCGGCGCCTGTAGCACCAGCTACTTGGGAGGCTGAAGCAAGAGAATCGCTTAGGCCCAAGAGTTTGAGGTTGCTGTGAGCTGTGATGCCATGGCACTCTCCCAAGGGCGACACAGTGAAAAAAAAATTCTTTTTTCTTTTCTTTGAGACAGAATCTCACTATGTCACCCTCGGTAGACTGCCATGGCATCACAACTCACAGCAACCTCAAATTCTTGGGCTTAAGCAATTCTCTTGTCTCAGCCTCCCAAATAGCTGGACCTACAGGTGCTTGCCACAATGCCCAGTTATTTTTTTGTTGCAGTTGTCACTGTTGTTTAGCTGGCCTGCACTGGATTTGAACCCACAAGCCTGGGTATATGTGGCCAGAGCCCTACCCACTGAGCTATGGGTGCCACCAAAACCTCTTCTGATGTTTTAGGCTCCTCTGTTGTTTCTGAGTTTCCCTAGACACTTTTTCTCAAATAAGATCTGAGGTCTCACTTGCAAATTGATACAGCCATGCCATGTTCTAGCTCGTGTGAATGGTAATGATGTCACAGACATCCACTTCTAGGCCTGGCTGATAAATACCTCCCACCTCCTACATGATCCTCCACTCACTTCCCTATTCACCGGCTGGAAGTGAAGAACTCTGAGGTCCTCAGGGGATGACAGAACCACAAGATGCTACCTGGAAAAGAGCGGCCTGAGAAGGCCACCTCCAACCAGGAATATCCACACTGGGCAGGCTTTGTGAGCAAAAAATAAGCTTGTGTTTAGCCACCAATGTGTCAATGATGCTTGTTACAACAGTTAGCCTATCCTAATATGGTAACTTCTACTATTATTATTTCCAATAATAGCCCCTCCAAAGATGTCCTTATCCTAATTCCTAGAACCTGAGAATATGTTACCTAACATGGCAAAAGGGACTTTGCAGATGTTATTAAGAACAAGGACCCAAAGATGGGAAGTTTATCCTAAGACTATCTGTTAGGCCCCACCTAATACCTGAGTCTTTAAAGAAACCTTTCCTAGCTGAAGCCAGAGTCAGAGAGACATGTGATTATAGAAGAATGACCAGCAAGACACAATACTGCTAGCTCTGAAGACAGAGGAGGCTCACAGGCTGAGGTACCTGAGTAGCTTTTAGAAGGCTGGAAAAAGAGAAATGGATGGTCCCCTGGAGCCTGCAGAAAGGAATGCAATGGGGCTGAGACCTTGATTTTAGCTCAGTAAGACCCATGTCAAACTTCTAATCTAAACATCTGTACAATAATAAATTCATGTTGTTTTAAACCACAAGTTTGTGGTAACCTGTTACAGCAACAATAGAAAAAGAATACAACTTTTTTCTAATCAACAAAACAGGGCAAAGGTGATGGGATGTCATCTCTGTGATCATATTTCCCAAGACTGTAACTTGCCTCTTGTTAGCAGACTTCTCTCTAAAGCAAGCCATGTTGGAAAGGCCCATGTGTCAAATAAGTGAAAGTGGACTAGAGCCAATAGTAAGTGAGAAACTGAGACCCTCAGTCCTATGGCCCTCCAGGAACTGAATTCCACCAACAACTACAGAAGTTTAGAGCCTGTCCAGTTGAACCTTCAGATAGGAACTCATCCCCGACCAATATGTGACTACAGGCTTGTAAGAGATCCTGATGCAGAGGAACTAGCTTAGCCACACCACATTCTAAACCCGTGGAAACTGATGTAGTTAAGTATGACTTGTGTTAAGTCCCTGAATTTATGGTGATTTGTTAAGTAGCAATGTATCTAATTAACACCCCCATCCAGATTGCCTGCACACTCTAGGAACCACATAAAAGAACCAGAGGAGATAGCACGGCTTCTTTTAGTGCTAACCTGTATGACGAGGTCCACAGCTAACAGGGAAGCAAAGATAGAGATGCTAGAAACATGGTCCTGGGCTACACATCCCTGTCCAATCCCTGGGGTCCACTTTAGCTCATTCCCCCACCCCCTACCCCATCATTTTCAGCTCAACAATAACAATAATAGCAGGCAGGATATTGAGAATACTACATGGATCACCTCATCCAACCTGCACCATGACCCCACACAACTGATACGACAATTTATAAGGCATTTACTATTAGCCAGATGCTCTTACCACTTTACACATCACTCTTTTAATTCTTACAGAAACTTTATCCCCTTTCCACAGGTGAGAAAGGGCACATCCTTCTCATTTGTTATTCTTTTTGAAGTTCTTCTTCCTGGGCCTGTCCTAAAGTAACAGCAGTAATTCAGAGTTGTTCTCAGTTCTTCAGCCTGCATCATGGTTTCCCAACAATTCCTTTCCCTCTGACTTTGCTTCTCACAATATTGTGAAGCAGCCATAATCATTTTCCCTACAATTTTCTCATCATCCTATTTTGATGAGGAAACTAAAGCTAAGGAGATACTGAAGCATCTTGGCCCGAGCCCTGTGGTTGATCACTTACTCATACAGAAACAGGACTAAATCCCAGTGGGTCTCAGACCCTCTCCTACATGCCCTGTCAATCTGCACATTTTCTGCCCATTAACACACTTCTTGCAACCCTTTGATGTGAGGTTTTACAAATGAATAAAGTGAGATTTGAGAAGTCCAGCAATTTGTTCAAAACTACAGAGCAAGTGGCAATGTCTACCCAGAACATTTGTTGGCTTTGGGGCAGGGACTGCATGGGCTTTCTGGACCTCCATATCCATAGGGCCAGGCTCAGTCCTGGTTCACAGTAGACATCCTTCCCATGGCTCAGTGGGTGGTGGGATGCAGAGAGCCAGCCTGCCTGGATGGTTTCTAGCTCTAGCTTCCTAGAAGGTTCAGAGACGTCTTGGGTTCACCCCATCAATAGTCTGGAAGTCCAACCTTCTAGCACTGTTTCAACAACTAATCCACATGAGACAACACATAGAACCCATGAACTGGCTTTGCTGGGTGGCCACACGGCTCAGCCACTGAGTGTCTCACATTAAGTCTTATAAAGTGACATCAAGAAGTCTTATCATAGCCAGCCCCATATACCAAGGGTGGCGGGTTCAAACCTGGCCCCAGCCAGCTAAAACAGTAGTGGCAACTGCAACAAAAAATAGCTGGGTATTGTGGCAGGTACCTATAGTCCCAGCTACTTAGGAGGCTGAGGCAAGAGAATGGCTGAAGCCCAAGAGTTGGAGGTTGCTATGAGCTGTAATGCCACAGCACTCTATTAAGGGTGACAGAGTGAGACTCTGTCTCAAAAAAAAAAAAAGTGGCTCGGCGCTTGTGGCTCAAGTGGCTAAGGCGCCAGCCACATACACCTAAGGTGGCGGGTTCGAATCCAGCCTGGGCCTGCCAAAAAACAACAATGACAGCTGCAACCAAAAAATAGCCAGGCATTGTGGCAGGCGCTTGTGGTCCCAGCTACTTGGGAGGCTGAGGCAGGAGACTC